GGGGGGAGGAAGGGGAGAGGTTAGGGTTTGGGGGGTTTTTCTACTCCTGTCAGTGACCTTAGTGACTTTGCAGCTACTGATCAATATTCAGTTTGTATAAATTTTTTTTTTTGGTTAAACTCAGAGTATTTATAAAATATTCATTGGAGGGATGTGTTCCTTTCCTACCAGACTTGGCTGGATGCATGTGGAACTAGCTTTCATTTAGTTAATGACATGTTTTTCCCATACAGCAGATTAATGCATGGTGACTTACATACCTGTATGTCAACCATTTCCACCAAAGACCTTCAACTTGTGTCCTGAGAGCACCTGTCTGAACTTAATTGAGACACATCCTAACCGCTCTCCCCTTGCCCCTCCTCCCAATAGCTTGCTCAGTCCCAAATTCATTGGATGATTTTTATTCATTATTGTTTGAGTCGTATTTATTTGCAAGTTTCCAAAGTGATGTCAGATTCTTATTTAGAGGCTGGATTGTTGATTCCCCATTGGTATAGTTTCATTTGGCTCATTTCAGGCAGGAATAATCAAGGAAAACTAACTTTTTGTCATCATTGGTCTTTGCCCCCTCCTCCACCTTCCATCTAAAGTGCATCCAGAATGGGTGTCTACTAGCAGCTTACTTGGTGTTCTGTAAATGAGGGGTGATGTTGTGTTCCCTTCCCGCTACCGCATGCACTGATGCTAATTAATCTATACACGTCAGTATAGCTTCGCCTTTCACTTAGAGCATATTTATACATGGAACATTTAAGGCTACCAGAGAAGAAATACCACCGTCTCAGAGTGGCTTTGCTTTTACAACTACCATAGATAAAGCTCTGGAAAATATACTTTAAAGACCAGTTCTATATTGGTGAGATGGGATGGGCCAAAATAGTTTAATAAGTGTTTCCTAGCTGTGATGTCTATGATTAACCTCTTCTAGCCAGTGGATGGTGTTAGGGGTTGCACTTGTTACTCAGGCGAAGCACCCCTTGACATCCAGCAGAGATACAAATGAAGAATTAATTCTGCTCTCAACCACAGGATTGCTACTTGGCCTTCCTTATGCTGTTTTTCAAATAAACTTATTTAAGAGGACCATAATGCCACTTTTAAAGACAAGCTTGTTTACTGTGTTTACAGTATAATTGGCAGTGCTTTCCAACTGTACCTTTCCTTGTAAATTAAGGCTATTTTTAGCTCAGCTAAGACTCCTCCCTCCCTCCCCGACACTTTTTTTTTTTTTTTTTTTTTTTTAAATGAAGAACAAGTATAACACAAATGCAGAGGAACCTAAATTGGCTGCAATGCGGTGAGGTGCAATTGCAGTGCAGCTTGCAAACTGGGAGGGTACTTTTTGATTTGGTATATCGTTGTTGTGGGCTCTTTATTTATTTTTAGCAGATGGATGTAACTATAATTCACCCCCAAGCATGATCCCTGGTCTGGGCAAGAACTGAATTCCAATCCTATAAATCAATATTCACATGAGTAATTCCTTTGGGTGGGAACAGCTGTCACAAATAAAACCTGCTCAGCTGAACGAAAGTTTGCCGGGTCAGGCTCAAAGTCCTGCTTTTTATCAGATGGGTGTTAATTAATTGAATAATAATTTGCCTCTTCGTCCTTGACTTACTCCATTTTTTTTTTTTTTTTTGCAGAAGGCTTTGGAAAGTGAGAGTGAGGGGTGGAGGGGTGTTGCCATACAAGTTTGTGTGTACTACCAAAGCCAAGACCACTGGGGGTGCTAAGTTTGGGATGCCACCTTTGTTCCAAGTTTTGTTGCTTCCGTCAGTTTAGGTCCAACCTTTTCTAAGTTAGTTCCTCATTTTGATTTTTTTTTTTTTTTTCTTCAGAATTAATCTCAAAATATTATACTTACTTGGTTGCCTGTTGGATTGTAAATAACTGCTTTCTCAGTTGATGATCTGTGCCTTCCCAGCTGTACTGCCTAGCCATACTAGGTGCGTCTACACAAGATACTTACTGCGCATTAGCCTAATGGCACTGCACAGTAGTGTGTCACGACAAAAACCGTGCTAATAGTCTACTGCGCAGTGTTGTTAGGCAGTAAGCATCACTAAAAAACCATGCACCAGCACCAGTGAGCAGTAACACTAGTTACTGCGCATTCAGTTAAAGTACTTTATTAAGGAAGTACTAAACTAAATGCTCAGTATCTAGGGTGCATTAACGAACATGTAGACGCACCCACCGTGTGTCGTCCAAGAAAGATGCACAGACCTCTTGAGCAGTAACTCCCTCTCGTCCGGAATGAGACTCCTTTGTGATCTGGAGTTTTCATACAGCCATTTTCCATAAAATGTCCCATGGTGTTAACCTGAGGCCTGGTGCTTTGGACAATGTCTGGATGACTTGTAACGTGATTTGTCATGTGAAACTCGTGCCAAAAATTTCAGTCCTGTGTCAGACTTTCCCAGGAGGATTCACTGTGAAGAATTTGCTAGGAAATTTTTGTTGCCTTTTTGGATAAGGAACCGAATCAAGTCACCCCGATGCAAGTGGATTATGGTCAAATATTGCATTCAGGGGATTACAGAAGTTTTCACTTCGAGAAAATTTGTTTTCTGGTGTGAAGCCCACAGCATAGGGTATCATGTTATGGCCATCATCCTTGCTATGCAGCTACTATTTGACCTGGGATACTTTATGCAGAGATTTTAAAAATAATTAAATAATCGTGCGTAGTAGCACATGCACACTTTCTCTCTCTTTCTACTTTGACATGCGTGCGGCTTTGCCATTTGACAAATGAAGGAGGCTGCTTGAAAGACATATGTTTGCCAGGTGTTGGATTGTAGGTGAGGTTCCCAGTGCTTCTGGGGATCTCTTCAAGCTACTCAAGTCTACTCCCAAATAGAAGATGTGTCTGAATTTAACCTAATGGTTTGGTTTCCAAATATCAATATGCCTTTTTTTTTTTTTTTACTTTGGTCTTTTTCTGTAGAATTTATCACTAACAAAAACCAGAAATAACAAATTGAAATAAGAATAAAAAGCTCTTTAAAAGAGAAGCCCAAAGTGTTCACACTGAGATCAGATAGTATTTAGTTTGAAATAACACTGAAAAAATGACTGCAGTTTGCTAACTTAGGTTTGCAGCTGTGGTCATGCTTAGGAGTGGGGATTACAATGGAAACGCTGACAGACCCTGAACAGTAGTGGCGCTAGCGGGCACCACTGGAGTATCACGACTTTCTTTTAATGTGGTTCCTTTGACTTGATGTTAATGCAACTTGTTCCTTACTTAAAGTAATAAAAGGAAATGAAGACACATTCTAAAATGAAACTTGACTCTAATCCATTCATCATCTAATACTAGCCTCTTTATCTTTGCTGGTACCTAATCTGGTTAAATGTCCCTGTTGTAGGATTTTAGTGAAAATCCTCTATGGGGAATAGGGTTTTTTGCAATTGGATTACTCGCAGTAAATGGTCCAGCAGTTTGCTTGTTTCAGCTTAATTTTTTCTTTGTGATCTTGTAAGGGTAAGTTACAGTTCACCCTGCTTTTTTTTTTTTCTTTCATTCATTCATTCATTCATCCTTTTTTATTAATATGATTTCTTTTATGCTTTTTGAGAGAGAAATAATTTTCCAGGACTGAAAATATAACAAGGAAAAACACCCCCTCCTTATATATGCATGGGATTTTTTTTTTCTCCAGCAAAGTTTGGATTTCAATATCTTTATCTACATATTTGCTATGGATTGTATGCCTCAGATCATAGTAACACAAGGCATCTATATCCAATTAATGTTATCAGTTTTCTCCAAATTGATGATTGATCAAGTCTCCTATGTATGTAAAAACGTGCAGGCATGATGTGTAGTGCTTACAAGGGAAAGCAATATTTCAAAATTACAATTTTTTTTAATTTATTTTTTGTGGTCCAGGGCATTTTACAAAGAATGGTCAATTAGAGAAGGGAAAGACCTAATAGTCACTGAACATTCAGGTCTCTTGCTTATTAAAGTCGGGGACTACCTGCATCTGATGAAAGAGTTTATATGCATCACAAAAGGGAAATGTCATTGTCACGTTATACCTCTGGACAATAGATTAATGTCATTTTGTTCCCAAGATTTTGGTGGCTGACCGTACAGCATTGTTAACACAGGGTGTTCCCCCCCACCCCTTTTTTTTTTGTCTTTTGACAGTCTAACAAAGTGCCAGTTGTGCAGCACCCACACCATGTACACCCTCTTACACCGCTTATCACATACAGCAATGAGCACTTCACACCAGGAAACCCTCCTCCACACTTACCAGCTGACGTAGATCCAAAAACAGGTAGGTGGGAAGTGGTGGGGCAGTCTTCATTTTCTTGGAGGGGGAAATGGGATGTGGTGGCAAGCCAACAGGATTTGGAGGGAACCCAAGGGAGGATTCAATGTACGTTTGGGATAGCTTTCCTAAACCGGTGTGCCTGCTGATAGAAACATGTTGAGCTTGATGTCATAAAGCACCTGGACTCCTGCACTTGGGGTCATTTGCAAGTGCATTTCTGTGTGAGCACACCCACTCGGTGGTAGTTGGCTCTCATAACTCATACTCGATTTGAACGAGTGACCCAGGGAGTTAAACATGTACATCCTGTGATCTGCACTTACAAAATTGCAGCTGGAATTTTAAAGGTGATGGGTTGCGGCCAGTTTCAAAATGAATCTCTCTTAATTCCCCAAATCCCATCGTTTCTGTGTCAGGAGTTCAGCCATTTTTTCTCTTATAACGTTGAATTTCCATCCTCCCTCCCCAGTTAGTTCCATGCACAGACTTGCAACTCTTTTCCCAAACGCAAGTCTGCCCAAGCCTCGGTTCAACTTGCAGGGCAATCTTCTTGACTACAGAGCGATGTAAAACCCTGCCTGGATTTATTGGTGTTACAGAATAGAATTTACATGTTATTCCAGCTCTTTAAAAAGTCTCTGTTTAACAGGGGGGCCCTGGAGAAGTCAAACAGTGTCAATCTTCCTTCTCCGAGCTGCATTGAGTTTTCTGTGACAGTGGTTTTGTTTTTTGTTACTCCAAAGCCCCGCTCATTAATTAGAAAGTAAATTTGAAACTGAATTCACGTCCGAGTTTGTCAAAAGAATTGTGTCTAACGTATGCAGATAATTTATCTGAACTCCAGCCCATGAATGAAGCAGGACATTAGCCAGTTTTCACTCCACACACCACCATTGAGGCCTCCTTTTAATTGTACTTAATGTTAACTTTGCACGGCTTAAAAGGAGACCATCAAGCCATCCCTGGGTATTGCAAGTGAATGGCATAGTCAGCCACTTATTTAAATAATGGTAGTACAGGGAATAGCTTTTAAACGGTTATCGTAAAACATATGATTAACGTCTGTAGACTGTTTACTTTTCTTCTGTGAACATTCTTTCAAGTGTGCAAATAGCTCACTGTATGGGTAAAGCCCAGTTAATCTGTTTGGTTTTTGTAATGGAGAAAAAGCAGTGTCTGCATGAAAATGTCACACAAGGAGATTTAATTTAGAGATTAAAAGCTTCCTGAGTGACTTAAAAAAAAAAAAAAGTTTCTAGCAGTGAATACGGTGCCCCTTCCTTTTAACGCTCTCTGTTTTAACTCTGCTTCTGCTATGCCATTGAGCTCTGGCTTGCCAATTGAAGGACCCAGTCCTGTAACCCTTCCTCGCCCGAGTAAGTCGTCTTGACCTCAAAGGTAAAGGTTGCAAGATCAGGCCTTAAACTTGGAGCTGAATTCCTTCAGTGCTCCGAATCCGCACAGGAGAGAGACCACAGTATCCATCCCACCCTCACCCCCCTCGTTTTATCGAACACCCTCAGGACTTTGTCTGCTCACCTTCAGGATTTTAGTGTGGAAATATTTAAAAAAAAAAAGGCAGATGCCCCAAAGTGGATCCATCTGGAAACAGAAGAATATTGCAGCTAAAAGGGTTTATTTGGGAGATTCCCAAGGAAAAAGGGTCAAGTTGGTGACACCAGGAAGGGGGTGCTTATAGGTAGGCATGGGGAGTGCATTTAGGGCTGCCTCCTTTTCAGCACCTTGGGAGGAAACCCAGCAGAGCCATAATGCAGAGGCGAGCTTTTTGGTGGTGTTTTACACAGTTTCCAGCACAAAAGGAGTTCTGGATCGCTTAGACAGTGCTTCAGTACCAGGGAGAGGGGAGAACATTGTAACTCTCTCTGAATCTCATTTACTTATGTACCATAAAGTACATCTGGGGCAGGAGGGGAGTAGTGTAGGTGACGTTAATGGGCCAGCCATTGCAAACAAGAAGCCAAGTCATTACCATCTTTATGGTATAAAAGTGTATAAGAGTTTCTCTCTCTCTTTCCTTCCTTTCTGGACCCAGTATTTATAATAAATTTTCCTCTTCCATAGGAATTCCAAGGCCTCCGCATCCTCCGGATATATCTCCCTATTATCCATTATCGCCAGGCACTGTAGGACAAATCCCCCATCCGCTAGGATGGTTAGTACCACAGTAAGGAGTTCCATTTTTTTATTTCCATTTTGGTTTGTTTGATCTGCATAATTTCTTGTGTAAAAAAAAAAAAAGTGTGTGTATGTATGTATAGAGATAAGTATATTTGCCAGCTGCCACTTTATGATGCGAGTGAATCAATGACCGCTCAATAAAGATTAAAAAGAACAAGGGCTCCAATATCAGGCCATATGGTATTAGGCAAACATGGGCATTAAAACACCACTTCAGATATTGTCTTAACTGTCTGTTGGCTTGAAGCACGAATGGTTATCATAACCCCTCTGCTGAAGCAGATCCTTCTTTATAGATATCCTTTGGCTGCCTGGTCTAAATTTTAGCAGCCCCTAAATTTTGTTTCCATGGTAGCTTCTGAAGGCATTCAAAGCTTAATTTTAATAGTACTCATATTAATACAATGTTATAATGATAACTGTATTGACCTTCTCTGTTATAAGAGCCCTTGTTTTTTTTTTTCTGTGGAAATGGGTAGGGCCTTAATAAAGTTGGCAAAAAAAAAAACATTCTGGGATGAAATGTGGTTGAAAAAGTAGAAGTTGCACAATGGTTTGTTTGGGGGGAGTTGCCCCAAGATGCATGAATTTGGGCAAGTTAAAAACTGGCCAAGAAAAAAAAAAAGAGGGGAAAAGTAACACTTATTTTTCTTTGACACTGCTTTGCAATAGCAGCTCTTGTAGGGAGTAAGAATTCCTCAGGTGAAACACTATGAGGTTTTCGTCACCAGTGCCTCAGTATTTCCATCTCTAAAATGGGCTTAATTCATTTTCTCAGGGCTTTTTTTGAGGTTTAATGGATTAAATGCATTTCAGCCACATTGATGCCCTTGAATGGAAGGTTTCCTGCATTATTAATGCTCAGGTGTTTTTAATGCAGAGTGTGTTGTTCCCACATACAAGGGTGTTGCAGGCCTCTCTGCTTTTGAGAAGATTAGTGCTATTTATCTTTTAGGGCTAGGCTGCCCAGGGCCATGAGTACTTCATTGTACTCCAAGTTGTTTGACTAACTGTGCTGAAAATGTATCTTTGCTAGTCACGAAGTTCACACCTTCTTGAGGAAATAGGGTTTTTACTGGGAGTTGCACGGTATGGTAGAAGGCAATCAACTTCATATGTACTGGTGGGCAGACAAGATGACCGGCCTCTCTCCCAGCCAAGGGCATCCCTGGACCCGAATATGCGTAAATGTGGATTTAGGAGATCCAGGACTTGGCCTTAATGGCCTGCTTCTCAGAAGCCCACCTTGGTTTGCTTTACACATTGCCTCTCCGCAGAGGGGTAGCGGGCAGTGAAGGGCTTTTCACTCGTTGGGCTTGAAAATCGCCCATTTCCCAGCCCTCAACAGAAGGGCGAGTTTCAGCAGAAACCAAAGCCAGAGGCATTGTGCTGTCTAAATCAAGGTCCCACACATTTGAGGTCATCTCTCGCGCAGTAAGCCCACAGCGGGTTTAGGATGACACGCTGCACACCGGCACACCTTGGCTGCTTTTTTTTTGCTTGCGGTGCCTACTCGCAGTGCAGCCAACCCGTAGCGCTCTCATGTAGCTTCTTGGCTCAAGTTTGCATGAGGAAGAAGAAAACCTTTAAAGACAGATCTATTCAGCATGTGGCAGAAGGCTGTACCGCTAAATCTGGGAGGTAGATGAAAATCCCTTTCCATGCCAACCATTGCTAGGTGGGCCTTTATGCTTCCATCTAGTGGAGCCTTATTACGTCTTGGCACAATAACCTTTTGTCTTAGTTGGCATCCACTGCATTCATATGCGTGTTGCTAAAGGACTACGAGGCCACTTTTCCTAAGGCGTATGGCAGTATCTGCCTGTGCACTGGGAAGGTCTACAACACCAGCTTATTCTGCAGGGTTTCTCGTTCTTCCCATAACTTAACTTGCAGCCTTTGTGCATCCCATCAGCCTTTGTGCAACCTGCATATGCAAACTGCCTTTCAAAATCAAGTCCTTTTTTAAAATTTTTTAAAGCAATAATACTGCCATCCAAGACTATGTGAGGTTCCTTCCCTTCCTTTCTCCGTGGTAAAAAGTTTTGGCCTGGCTCACCTAAACTGGTCTGGATACCTCAAAGTATACACACACACAAAAAAAGTATCCTACCCACTCAGCTGATACATTTGAAGGACAGATAAAAAGAATTACCCAGCACAGACAACCCTCTATCAGGAAAAGTTGTGTGTCTTTCATGAGGATGCTGTTTTGCATGTTGCTGTATTTTTTAATTATTGTAATGAGGTGTGATTGTCTATTGGTTACCCACAATACTTCTTGGGGACTCTCCCCCGGTAACTCTTGTCAACACTTGTTAATCTGACAAAAGGCTACAAATTAAGCTCTGTTAATTTAATGTTTTCTCACCGAGATCTAAATACCGAAAGAGGCCCAAAGCGCAACTGAAGTCCTTTGATTCACTGTACTTTATTTTGGTATAAATTTACATTCATTATTGTTTTCCTTTGGATGTGTAGCCCTCAATTAGTGTGATGGCTCCATTAAAGCAAGCGAGACTTCGCCTTTAATTATTACAACAAAACACCTAGTTTCAGCTTGGGGAGAGGGTCTCTATTGACATAAGCAGAGGTTATAAAATTTAATTAGCCATTCCTATCAGATTTATGGCATTCAAATTGTTCTGTGTTTCTTTCCTTTGATCCTTGCTGTACAATCCCCAAGATTTTTGTTCTGATCAAATGAGAATAAAGCTTACTGTGCAGAGAGAATTTTTTTTTTTTTAAATCCTTTTTTCTTTCTCTCACTTTTTTTTTTCCCCCCTTTTTTTCCCCCCCCCTCCTTCTTTCCAGGCAAGGTCAACCAGTTTATCCAATCACAACAGGGGGATTCCGGCATCCTTACCCAACAGCTCTGACTGTCAATGCTTCCATGTCAAGGTGAGTTCACACTACTGAGGTCCCGAATCAAGGGCAAATGTAACTCCTCTTAACGTTCTCTGTTGAGAAGCGTGTTTCATCTAGAAAAAAAAAAAGTAGCTCCTGAAAACATTTGGTTAAGCAGTCACTTTTAGTTTGGTAAAACAGTATCTGCTCACCTGAGGATAATACGGGAGTCTCGGTAACAGTCACATCAAGGTTTGGGGGTGGGCTGTGGGGGGGAGAAGGGAGCGTATTATTTTGAAAGGCTACTAAAGGAGGAATAGAGTACAATATGACGTTGAAAAAGCGAGGAGGAGAAGTCATGACACGTTTTGCTTCCTCAGTGGCTATCATTCAGAGCCGCGCTCTGTGCAAGGCAGAGGAGGGTGCAGGGTGTGCTATTGTTATTCAAGCAGAGTTGGAAGGAAGGTTATTGTGCTATTTTTTCCCCCCTTGCAAAGCTCAAAACGCTGATAGTCAACATAAAAGGACCTGCCTGACCCTCAAAAGCTTCAGAAGTATATGTTTCTCCCCCTCCATACCTCCAATTAATTCCAGCTAATTTTCCAGGGGCTCCTAGTTTTATTTACAAACTGGTTGGCAGCACTATGTTTAAGTAATCACTAATTGCTCCTAATGATAGTTTTATTTTCTGTTCATCTGATTTTCAGTCTGGTTAATTAAATCGGTGGAGGTTTAGACTTTCCTGATGGGCTGAAACAGCTAATCCATTTTGATGATGGCACATAATTAAATTAGCATGCATTACATAGCAAGGGTCCATTGCTCCCTCCCCCCCCTTCGGCCCCTCCCTTCCCTCACTGCGGCTAATACATGAAGGTTAGAGTACAGAAGAAGATTTGAGGAGACAAAGGTAACTCCTGGACTAGTAGAAACCTGTAGCCAGGGCTTGTGAGTGACTAGAGAGAAAGTGTGCGCGCACATGTGGGGGGGTTTTAAAAAAAGAAATGCAATTATAAATGCACACCTATGGCTCCCACAGATTTTTTTTATTTTTTTTTCAACCAGACGTCTGAAAATCTAAATTTTGTTTAAAAGGACCCAGTGTAGAGTAAAATCCATGCCTTGGGAGGGGTGGGGGGAAGCTGCAGCATTTAAATAATCCCCCTCTTTAGTCCTCACCATATAGATATAAAAAGATTTTAAGGCATGGGGTGAAGCTGGATTTTAGGCTAATTATTATTACTTAGGCTAGTCTCCCTTTTGGGCAGGGGAGGAGGGGGAAGGTGTCTGTATTCCCAAGACAGGCCTTATGAAAGGTATCTAGTTAAAAAGAGTACACAGCAAATTAAATACATTATTGTGGTAATGGGACGACAGAAGTACAGGTCTATTATACTTATGGCAGTTATAGGAAATGTAGGCTCCTTGCCCTGTTCCAGCACACCCTTTGATATTCATTCCATTCAGCAGCAGGGCCAGGACTTCTCAGAATTAAGTGATGGGTCATTATACTTTAAACACCATGGAGAAGCCTAGATTGGCAATTAAACAGCACTTGCTGACACTCGCTTGTGCCACCCTGTGACCCCCTTTAGATTGAGATGTTGGAGCTCGGGGCCCTCAGCCTGCTAAATTGGTAGCAGGCACTTCTCCTGACGAGGGCTGGCTCTGAAATCTGCCGGCTTCAAAGGGAGCAAGATCATGTATAAACCATAATGTGGGTGCACCGTGGCTCAAAAAATAAGGCAGGAATAGATGAAATGTTACAAGTGCAAGGGGAAAATGAGAGAATAATGACAAATCTAATGCAACTCAAAGCAGAATTGTTGCACAGAAAAATGCATCCCACTGCTTGTGCATAAAATCAAGGCAGGCAGATGACATCCAGTTAACAGAAACATGTCAACAGTGAAGTAAAGTGAGAGTGAGTAAGAGAGAAGCCCCTGAGACAGCCAGGAACAAAAAATTAGTTGTCCTTAACAAGTTAAGGCTCATCATTATATTCTGGCTTGAAGCCATAAAAGCAGACAGGGGTATATAATGAGCTGCTTAGAATTTTTAGGGTGTTTATTGCAATTCGTGGAATACTTGTCTGCAAAAAGGAATGTCTTAGGCAAAGGTGTGTGTGTGTGTGTGTGTGTGTGTGTGTGTGTGTGTGTACATATACTGTCTTTTTTTTGGTATACATATACACGTACATGTACACACACACCAAGATACACATTTAGAAATATTTATTCGTAGTTTTAGCCTAAAAACCTCTTTTCCATTTAACCTTCTATGGGGAAAACTCCATGAACCGACAACACAACTGCACAGTTTTCTCACGCATACCATCCCAAGTATGCACAGGTATGTAAAACACACACATATATACTTGAGCTTTGTGAGTCTAGTTTTGCTTCTCGGGTAGTTCACACGTAATCCTGATGTTTCCTCATGAGCTCACCCAAGTATGCTCAAGTTTCTGCAGAGACGCATGGCATGTATAACTACGCTCTGTTTTTAAAAGCCCTATAGTATCTAGGCGCAGCAATGGAGAGGGGTTTTGAATTTGTAATGCAAGTGGCTGTGAAATTCATTAGCTACCCTCTCCACATGTAAATGCTATGGAAGATTCCTGGTTGAAGCACACAGTTACCTGCTCTGTAATACTGACTTTTCATGTAGGAGTGGTTTTCTCCGCAACATATTCACAAAGAAGCTTGCAAGCCTAATTATCCCAGTTTGCAATTAATGGTACGCTTTATAAATAGTTATTGAAAGGGGGCAATCATTGTTTTATTACAAGGTCAGCAATCATTCTAGTGTCGACTGGTTTCTTAGCCATCTATAACTCTTCCTACTCATCTGCTTATAAGATGACCACCCACAATACTCCTAAGTTTCTGACATCATCTGAGCATTTATTACTCCCTTTAAGCACTTTATAAATATATCCTTAATAAAAACTGTGATCAGCTTAACATGCTAGTGGGCAAACAATACATTCACCTCTAAAGAAGCAGCCAGGGAGGGGAAATTGGTCAATGATTTAACAGTACACAGCAACGTTGCATAGCAATTAAGCGGTAGCAGTGAAGAATACCTTTTGTAATTGAAATTTCTGGGGGAAATTTAGCTTTGCTGAATGTAATTACACAAGCTGGAATTTAGCCAGGACCTCCTAGGGAACACTCCCCCACACTTCCAGACATGTGACTGTAGAAATAAAGATGGGTCTGATCCGAAGTCAGTGGAAGTGACCCATTGACCATGGGTTGTGGACCAGTCTTTGAACAATATTTAAAAAACCAAAAACATAGTTGGGTGCCTGTAAGGCCAAAGTTTGCTTTAATGGTCGGCTACTTTTTTCTGCTTCTGTATATTTGCAGTTCATCTCCAAAGGAAGCCATTTTTTCTATTCAACCACAAATAGAAATTGCTGGCAAGCAGAAAACCTATCTTGGATTGATTGATTCCCTTTCTTCCCCTTACCCCCCATCTTTTTGTTGAAATTTCATGAATTTCACAGACATTGGGGCTAGAAGGGACCTCACAAGATCATCAGGTCCAATTTGGCTTCACTTGAAATATTCTGCCCCACATGGGGGTATGTGTATGTAAAAATAAATAAATAAAATAATTTTAAAAAATCGAATCGCAATGCCACTGCAATCCTGAGTTTTTAACAGAATAAAGAACTCCAATCAACCAACTGGATCACTTAACTCAGTGATCACAGACTTTCAGATCATATAACCTCTTTCATAAACTGGCCAAGTTGTATCTTAAAAATAGTTAGGTTTCTTGCCCCAACCATTTCTTTTAGGAGGCTTCTCCAAACACCTTGCTGTTCAGATCAGGAGAAGCCTTCTTCTAATATCCAGACTTCTTCATACCCAGTTAATAGCTATTTGTTCCTTTGCCAAAGGTGTCTTTTATCTACTTCCTCCTTGGTGTTTACCCTCTGCTAGAGGTTGACCTTATCCTCTTTTGTGGGAGGTTTAGTCTCCTCTTGTAAGACTTCCCTCCATTCCCCTGGTCATCTTAGTAGCCCTTCATTGCACCTGTTCCACTTCAAATTCAACTTGATTATGCATGACCCGAATTCTGTATAATATTTTTCACTTTTTGTTGAGAAGAAGTATCCGTTCTTGGTTGGATTTGATCACTGAGATAGCATTAGTTAGGCTTGCTAAAAAAAAAATTATTTAGAAATTCACCCTACAATCTCTCTGTTTTATTTTTTGGGACCTGCTTGGAGTGTTTCTCGACCAAGGTGTCATGAGTTCCTTAAAAGGGTCTGTATTAGCACTATATTATGTGAAAACGCCTACACATGATTCACAAGATAAGCCCAGGGATTTCAAATGAGAACCCATAGTGGCAAAAACATTCTGGCCTGTTCTGGTCTTTCTGAGTTCTTAGCAACAAAAGAATTGTTCTGTTATTTTTCTGTAGTCCAAAAATGAGTGAAAGCTGAGAGCTGGCATTTTCCAAGGTGTGCCTTGAGTCTGAAAAAGTTGAGAACCACTAGGCAAGGAGATTGAGCATGGACTCTCACCCTTCCCTTTGACTTTAGTGTGGGCAGGATTTTGCCCTAGGTTTTCACCTCATCCATTAAAAAATCCCTTTCCTGTGATTCCCATGTGGTGGTTTTATTTTTATTACATTAGGGCCCAGAGGCTGCAAACAAGATCGGGCACATTTGTGCTTTGCAAACGTATGGTAGAAGGTTGTTCCTGGAGCTTTCAGCCAAAATAGACAGATGTACGCAGGGGAGAAGGGAGGTCAGATGAAGTGATAGCCAAGGTCATGGAGCTGTTCACTTTCAGAACGCAGGGATCCTAACTACCAGACCTGTATCCTAACTTCTAGACTGCCCTGTACGTGGCATTCCTCCCCCATCTCATGTTCACTCTCCTTCTTGCCTGAATTATTTAGCTTTGCTGGTTAACCTCCTAAGAGTAGAAAGGCAGAACCTCCTTGGAGACTCATGCCCATTTCAGTGTAGGGCCTTTGGCAGAATAGTAGTCAAGCTAGTGACCACTGCCTGCCTGCTCTTCTCTTCTTCCATCACAGAAACACCCTTCCCTTCCTCCTTTTGTCCACATATTTCTTCTTTTGGTGTGACTGCTCTCGAGAGAGAGCATAAGCAACTTCACAGATAGCTCCCCATCAATTAGATCACTCTTCTCACAGCGGCCTTTCAAATCTAAATGCCACCCCTGTGTAATGATACTGAGCTCTACCAGCTAACAGAAAAGAAACCCCCTAAAGTTGCATTTAAAGTTTATAAGCGATTCATAGATTGTGAGGCTGGAAGGGACCTCGGGAGTTCATTGGGTCCAGCCCCCCTGCATCAGGCAGGAAACTGGGAGTTGGGTGACCTCAGCAAGGTGACCGTCCAGTCTCCTCTTGAAGATTTCCAAGGTAGGCGATTGCACCACCTCCGGAGGGAGCTTATTCCACAGTCTGGACATCCTAGCTGTGAAGAAGTTTTCCCTAATGTTGAGCCTGAAACAGTCTTCCAAGAGTTGGTGACTATTACTCCTGGTTTTCCCCAAGGGTGCCTTGGTGAACAGTTGTTCACTGAGCCTTTGATGTACTCCCCTGATGTAGTGGTAAGCCTCTATCAAGTCCCCTCTCAGCCTTCTCTTTTTCAGACTGAAGAGTCTCAGGTCTCTCAGCCTTTCCTCGTATGGAGTGCCGTGCAAATCTATGACCTTACGGGTGGCCCTTCTCTGGACTCTCTCGAGCTTTACCACATCCTTGTTGAAGTGCGGTGCCCAGAACTGGACGCAGCGGTCCAGATGTTATCTCGCCAATGCCAAGCAGAGTGCAAGAATCACTTCCCTAGTTCTGCTAGAGATGCATCGATTGATGCATGCCTGGCCATTATTTGCCCGGTTGGCTACAACATACTGCCGGCTCGTATTCATAGTGTGGTCCATCGTTACCCCCAGGTCCGTATTATTTACGGTGCTGGTCAGTTTGGCACCACCAAGCCTATAAGTGTGTTGGGGGTTACTTGTCCCAAGGTGGAGCGCTTTACATTTCTCAACGTTGAACTTCATCTGATTCCGATCTGCCCAACTTGCCAGCCTGTCTAGGTCTGCCTGTATCAGTAGCCTATCTTCAAGTGTACCAGTCTTATTTACAAAAAGAGCAACTCCAACTCCTCATGTCAATGAATTCAATATTTAGGGAGGTTTAGATGCTGTAAAAAACTTGATTAGTGGCGATTATAAAATGTTCCAAGAGTTTATAATAAGATCCCTTCGTTATTTCTCCGATTTCTGCACAAATCTCACGTAACATGAGTGGTATAGACCACCACAAAGTAAACCCAGGTCTTCAGCAGAAAAGTCACTGCAAATGAACAATAGAAGTAATCTTTTCATATCTTTATATTTTTGAGCTACATGCCACAGTTCAGATTCCCATACCATATATTCACTGAGTCCTCTAACTGGGCCAAGAGACACCTAAGAGTTTGCAATAAGAATGGGAGCTGCAAGGAGAGAATGTTCAGATAACACAAAACTTAGCTTTCTAGCCCATCATAACTGTTGGGGAGGGGGGAGAAAAATGAAGAGCATAAAATCACCCTTGGGCCAGAATTGTAGGCCAGATTATGTCCTGTGACATCCAGTTGACTTCAGTGGGGCTGCGCAAGGGGGAAGTCATTTATCTGTGTTATGCTTTGCTTGCTATCCATGGAATCCTTTCAGCCCATTGAATAACAATGTAACTAATTATTCTTTTGAAAACCTGATTGTTCTTGTTAATAGAGTTTACCTAGAAATATGCCTAGGATAATTTTGGTGTGTGTGTGTGTATATATGTGTGTATATATATTCTATGGCCCTGATCCAGCAATTAGGTTTCTACAAGTGGACTTTGTGTTCCTACAAGTCCAGTTTAGGGATCAGGGGCAGCATATGACTACATGAATTATATATATAGTTTCTCTACATTTTTTCATTTAAAAAATATCTAAAGTGTTTTCTGACATGAGCGTAATCCTTCCTATGTACCTACTAGCTCAAAAAATGACTTCGCTACGCAGTGTTCCCATGCTTAAGACAGTGTAATACAGAGATTTACCAAACAAAAATAAATATGTATTCTTCTGCTCGATCAACAAAATGTTGGCTAATGAAGCAGGTACAAAGATTGTCAAAAATGCATAGAAATTGTGGTGACATAAATATTTTATTTTGCTGTCAATACACAACAAAAGATGTCACCCTTATTTCTCAACCTGATTAGTTCTGTGACTATTGCTTTACTAGTTGCCATTGGTAATTTCACAGTAAGGAAATGGGCCAGTAATTTTTCTGCAGGTAGCTAAAATTCCGTTTTCCCCTCCAAGTTCGTCAGTCAAATTTGCCTTTTGTTAAAGATGTTAAAAATCATAATGTCTCATGTCAGTAATGATAATGAAGGGGAAGATTGCCTTTAATGACATTAGAAGAATCATTATGTTTAATTTATCACTAATTAATGCTGCCAGGTTTCATATGCTTTGTCTAGCTGTCATGTGCTTGTTATATGCCTCTTTTTTTTTTAATGTGTGTTTTTACACATCCCTCCCCATTCATTCATTTTTATTCTGACGATTTACACAGCTTTCTCTCCTCTAGGTTCCCTCCACACATGGTCCCGCCACATCATAGTTTACATACAACTGGAATCCCTCATCCGGCCATAGTCACGCCAACAGTCAAACAGGAATCTTCCCAGAGCGATGTTGGCTCACTCCACAGCTCGTAAGTTTCTTACTTGTGTCAATTTCCTTTTGAAAATGTAGTATGAGAATAACGATCCATCAATTACATTTACATAAGTAGTTTTGTTTGTATGTTTTTTTAAAAGAATCCTGGGCTTTACTTTATTGTGTTTTTATCACTACCTAATAACAGGTTTGTTTGTTTTATTTAAATTTTTTTTGGGGGGGGGGGGGGTGTTAAACGGAATTGCCCTTAATTTCATTGGCTGGGAGTGTGAAAATAAGAAATCATACTTCGTTCCCTAGAGCATTCCTATGTGTTAGGTGAGTCGGTATTATAGTCATACGCCCGGGGAAACTGAATTTCATTAGAAAAGATCAAACTTTATAAACCGTTGGGTAATTTTGTGTGCCGTTTTTGATGCTCAGTTTGAGCCACACGCGTGCTTCCAACTGGCCCTCCAGAGGTGGAGACATAAAATAAGAGCCATGCTC